CTGTGTATTGCACATTTTAATCTTTATTGTTTTGCAGCAAATCTATACTAATATTATAAAGATGAACAATTTGTTTTTTTGTTTGTTTGTTTGAATGCGCAAATCTCCGAAACTACTGATCCGATTTGAAACATTCTTTGGATTGGATAGCCCATTTATAAAATATCACGCTGCGATAAATAGGCGCCGAGCAGAGCGAGTAAAACCGCGCGGAAGTAGCTAGCTATTAAAATATAATAATAGTTGAAATAACTTATAATAATTCTATAATCATCATTAATATCCTTGTTTAAAATATACATCCGCCAAATAGTTTAATTTCACACATTTTTTTCCTAGCATTGTCCTAATTCCCATCGATTGTCTGAATAACGTAGTATTTCATTGTATCACGATAAGCAAGTTACTAGCCACTGGTAATGTACTTAAGGTTCAATTTGCTTTAATTAACATGACAATAAGAATTCAATAAAATATAACGATTTTGTCATATTACCAACTGCGGCAGTAGTTCTATTCAAACAAACTAAATTCCTCCGTGATGAATAGGTAGACCGATGTGGAAAATTTATTTCATTTCATAATATATATTTTTTTTTAACGTTGCCCTACACTAGGATTTTCTCCTGTGTCGTGGGTGCGTTTACAAACATACAAGTTCACATACACAATGACACCCAGACCCGAAACAACAATTTGTGGATCACACAAAGTGTTGTCCCGTGCGGGAATCAAACCCGCGACACGTTGCACGGCAGCCGGTTGCCCAGCCACCGCACCAACTGTGCAGTCAAAATTTTAATTCACGTGTATGTATGTTTATGACTCTTTTCAACAAAAACGACTGATCTGACCGCGAAGAAATTTAGTACCTAAATAGGTTATAGTTTAGAACAACACTGTTAGCCAGTTAAACTGCTGATAAGGGCCAATTTTTTAATGTTCCGTAAAATTTTAACTGAGGAATAACTTTGACTGCCTCGTTGGCCGAGTGGTCGCAAGTGCGACTACCGGGCAAGGGGTCTCGGGTTCGATTCCCGGGTCGGGCAAGTATTACTGGGTTTTAAAAAATTTCAGTAGTAGCACACGGAGTCTGGAAATGTGTCCGGTATATAGAGGTAGCAATAGGATCACTCCCTATTACATGGGACTCATAACATAAATAGTGAGAAGTGGGTGTTACATTGTACAGTGGCATTAAGTGCCGAAATGTGCACCTCTGCCTACCCCTTCGGGGATAAAAAGGCGTGATGTTATGTTATAAATAACTTTCAGTATTTGACAATCCTTTATACTAAAAACTGTCAACTGGCAATTTCATTCTACAGTTAAGAATTAACTGTTGATTGAAAAATTGGCCCTTAATTACGTTAATTTGATTTGATATATTTGCATATGCTTTACAGTTCTACATTGTCCAAAAAGCGAAGAAGAAGACTACTGCCCTTCAAACTGTATGAATGATAAATGTCCAAAGAAGGAGAATTATTTATACGAGTGCAATTTGGAAGGTTGCGGTACCCCGAGGTGCAAATGTCGGTTCAACACGAAACGAGCAGACAATGGGACTTGCATTGATACTAGATATTGTCGTAAGTACATTTTCACCTATTTATTTATTATTTTGTATTGACTAGACTAGATAGGAACCTTCTTCTGACTGCAGAAAAAGTAGCATAAGAAGACTTCTAGTTATTTCTAGTTAAATCTAGTAAGAAGACCTGAAGATCGAGTTCAAAATTTACGTCAATTCCTTATAATTTAGTTTTTTATCTACTCTATTTGTAGACAAACGCTAAATAGCATTTGGCTACAGGCCCTCGGTTTGTTCCAAACTTCCCTTGACATGACCTAGTGTCTAACGGTACTTACATTGAATAATAACCAGAAGTGGATAACACCTAGGGAATGCCCTAGGCAACAACCTAATAGGCGACCCTAACTTTTTGGGCGCCGCCGTCACTCTATGAACCCGCGCGTCTCGCAACGTCGCAGCGCCTTTTTGTAACCTGGCTACTTACTAAGGTACTTGCCTAGTGTGTCCTAGGCATATACGGTTCTTATAATAAGTAAAATACTACTTTTCAGTTGACAACACGGTTCTTTTTTTAAGGGGGACAAATCATCTAATGACTTCTCTCACCCGGGTGAGGCGAGAGTCTGACACTCCCTGTCAGACTCTTACTTACTTAAAACCACCCTGTTCCTACTCCTGCACTTCGAGCCGGAGCCCTGGAAACCCGTTATTTCCTCCGCGGTTCCGTATCGCTATCAGCCCTATTGGGCCCCATCTGTGATGGTCTGATGGCTCTTGGAGATGCGGGCGGAACGCGACGCGCCCTACGTTCGGATCTGGTTCTGGTCGGGCGGCGAGTCACCCGTTCTCGTATTGATCTTCTTTTTTATCTTACAGCTCCATTTAAATGTGACCGTCCGAATGAAGAGTTTGTGGCTTGTCCGCCGTATTGCCCAAAAGATGATTGTGACCAAGCGTCTCCTGAGGGGATATGCCTCATCAATGGCCTGATATTAGTGGCGGAATGTCAACCAACCTGCCGATGCATCAAAGGTTATTGGAGGAAAGATGGCGAATGTGTACCTTATAAAGAATGTCGTAAGTGCTCATTTTCAATAACAATTTATTAGATATTTTCCAATTATGCAAATTCGATACTTATTCCGAGCGGTAAAAAATCGAAATGGGACGAGCTAATAGATAGACTAAAGGACTCACGCCAGAAATCTTTAATAATATGTTGTTTAACTTTCAAAAATGTCTTCTATTATTAGTCTTCTATTATTATTCTAGTATTTTGTACTAAATTTGATATGTCTTGTGACTAGTGATATCAAAAAAAAACTTAAATTTTTGGATAAAATAAATTGATGAAAGTGTGATTATTTTTTGATATTTCATGTATATAAAAAAAAATTACTACGAATATAGAGGACTTTCATAAATAAATATATTCCCCATTTCATAAATAAATATATTCATAAATCAACAATGTATGAATCGAAAGAGAAATATATGTATAATAGACAATATTATTTATTTTTTTATCTGCACGCAGTTATGTACCTATTTATCTTGATTTTATTATATTTTTTATATTTAAAATTCTAAGCACTGACGCACACCAGGTTGCCCAAATCTTTTCTTTTTAGCAATTTTTAAATATAATCCTTACACAATAGAGTTGAAAATCATTAACCATCAGTAGATAGCTAGGTCAATAGTTAAAGATTCTAATAATGTTTTTATTCTAATTTCAGTTGTACCTGTAACATCTCTACCACCGGTATTCTTCGGAAAATAATTAATATTTAAGAAATTAATAAAAATAAATGATAAAACCTAATTTAATTTACTCAACTTATTTGTTAGTGTCAACTGCATTGCTTTATTATGTTAAAAAACTACAAAATAAATACATTTAATTCTTAGTAAATTATGACCAGTCTGTTTTTTTATTTTTATTACCTCAACTCAAGTAATAATGAAATTACAAAATGTAATATAGATATAAGTACTAACATTTTGCCAAACTTTAATAAAAGAAACACTATTAATTAAGTAAAAAAGTCATTCATTAAGCATTCAAACTCCATTTTTTAACCTACTATTTGTCTTTACTACCGATAACCTAAACAATATTAATACCCGACCCTAGAATTGAATCCACCTCCTCCACCTTAGCAGTCCCGCTTGGCAACTCGATCAACAACGCAGAGATTCTCTAACAAACCTACGTTTGTGGGTATTGTACCACACGTATTACGTGACGTCATCGAAAGTTATGGCGTCACGCGATGATACAGCCATACACGTGCGTACTCCAAATAAAATTCACGTGTAATTAACCCGTGATTGTAAAGAGCTAAAGTATTGCACATCAACCTACTATATGTAGAAATTATCTTCAATCAATTTTCGATTTTGTTACTTAACTGTTAAAGTTTATATTCAATTAAAAAGTTTGGTCTGATTAGAGTAATTTGACTCGCTGGCTGTATTACTACGGTAACAGATAATACAAATAATGATTGTATATTCATGAGAATCACTTGTTGGATTATTGTTTTCCTTCAAATAGGTACTGGAAGGGCCTTTTGAAAATGTGACAGTTGTAAACACAAAAATGAATAATTCACGAAAGCAAAAATACCCAGGGTATTGTTACAAAACATGGTAATAGTCATAATATATAATAAGATGTAACAAAATAAGGAAATTAAAAAATGTATTGTATTTAATAAATAGCGAAAAGTAAGTGTTACATTGTACAGTACAGTGGCTGCCCCCTCGGGGATAAAAGGCGTAATGTTATGAATGACAGTCCATCCCCCTAATTTCCTAACCTCCTCTTCTCACTTTTCTAGACTCATGTGATTAATAAACAATTCTAGAATAAGCCCCAATCCGGGGAGTCATGAGACCACCCAATAGGGCTGATGCCGATACGGAGCCGCGAAGGACTTAACGGGTTACCGGGGCTAAGGCTCGAAGGGCAGTAGTAGGGACGAGGTGGTTTTTAGTCAGTAAGAGTCTGACACTCCCTCCCGCCTTACCCAGGCAAGAGAAGTCATTCGATGATTTTCCCCCCTTAAAATAAAACCGGAGATGCGGGCAAACAGGTTACCGGGGCTCCGGCTCAAAGCACTAGTAGGAACGGGGTGCTTTTTAGTCAGTTAGAGTATGACATTCTCTTGCCTCAGCCAGGGCACGAGACGTCTTTGGATGGCTTAGTCCCTGCTTAAAAGTACCCAATTTTCAATAAAAACACTATTTCGTCCATTTCAAAAAAATACAATAGTACCTAATTATCAAAAAATTGTCTATTAACGTCTATCCTTTGGTCACGACTGTATTGTTTTTATACAATAAAACACCTGGGTTTTATATATACACAGCTATAATATGGCTGTATACGGCTATATAGCTATGTTGTATATAAATAAATTTTGTACCGTTTTGTATCAGAAGTGGTGAAGCCACGATGGCGGTCAGATTGTGGTTCTGTGTTGCTTTAGTGACTCATATGTTGATCGTGGTTTTATGTAATGGTAAGTTAATACATTTTTACTATTAAACAGAACAAGCATACTTTTATCTAAATCTATTTGTTGATTTTTATATTTTTTCTGTCAATTTAATTTTAGAAGAGTTAAGCAGTTTTTTTAATACACAATCCTTTTCTTGTTGCCATTTTGTTTATTTAGTGCTAATTGTTGTATCAGAATAATAAGTTAGGTAGGTATTCTACAAAGGAAGTTAACACATTTATTACAGTGCAATTAAGTAATTTAATTTACGACTCAGACGATAAATAAACACTATCGAATCGACTCAGTCCATATACCATACCATGTTACTATTCTTAATTATGGCATCCACTATCAAAACGAGTTCATAATCATCATTTTAATTATTTTTTCCAGATGAACCCGACACTACAGTGACAGCTACTGATGTTGTAACCGAGTCAACATCGACACCATCACTTGCAAACCCCGTCACTTCGACAATCATTAAAAAAGTGAAATGTAGAAAAAGTAAGTAAACAATCATTTAATCTCCGAAGAGAAGTCGAGATGCACTTACAATATAACACTCTTGCTTTTCCATCATTTATGTTCTATATTCTAAGGATGTTTCAAATTTTGACAGAAAGTATAAAGTTTTTAACCGACTTCAAAAAAGGAGGAGGATGTCAATTCGACCGTATATATGTTTTTTTATAGTTGTAGGACAACTAATGTGAACTAAAAATCGATCATAATCCATAGATTTCAATACAGATTACTTTTTAATAATTTCGTTTGCAAGTGGATACTAGATTATATACCTAGTTACAACCGTACATATTTTGTTGGTTGCACGATGTCCATGTTTTAGTGAAATAAGACTGCAACGAAAAGACAGGTTTTACGGAATGAAGTTGTTTACAATGATATCGAAAAGATACGTGAGTTCATTACTCGTTTATGTTTACTTTCATAGCATAAACTAAACATAAAAACTTTAAGTAGGTATCTTTATTTTAATGTCACGATTTATATAGTTCCCTATATATATTTGCATATATTTTAATTGAGAGTTTGCTCGATCGTTTATGCCTAAGTAGGCTAGCGTTGGATGGTTGGGTCAAGGGCCTGATGCAGAAAGCAGTACTTCTGGACACGGCGCGTATTGTCCGGAAATTCCTCTCTCTGGAGCCCTGACTGTCGGTAGTTTGGATTTCTCCCATTACTGGTGGGCTACTACTTATATTTTATAAAGGAAATAAATAATATCCTTCTAATATTATAATAATAATAATACCTAAGTTTGTTTAGCGTTTGTGTCGTTAATTGAAATATAAGTAGGTATTTATGATAAGTTGCTTTTTAGGGAATAAGGAAAACAGCTAATTCATACCGGGAAAATATTTATGAATGGCAACAAAAAATTATATCCTGCTAATATAATAAATGTCAAAGTTTGTGTGTTTGTTTGTTCGTTTGTTAAATATTGACGTCAAAACGACTGAAGGGATTATTGGAACAAGTGTAGCTTATGCTCTGGAATAACACGGAGCCCAATTTTTATTCCATGAAAATGAGGGTGAAGCCTCTCACTGCGGAATATTCCTTGGTGACTATTGGTGATTCGAAAAGTTAACCTTCAAATGGTGAAAGAATTAATTAAATCGATCCTGTAAATACAAATGATCAAATCGGCGAAACCTTTCCAAAAGCATTAATACTTATTATTGAAAAAACCATGATGTTGTTTTTTTCATAAGAAAGTAGGTACTACTTGTACCTACTTTATAACAAAAAGTCAATTCTTAAAAAAAATATTCACTTTATCCAGCTGCCTATTTTATTTTCGACGAATAAATTTATCTGTTGCTATTTATAAACTTTTGCTATTCCAAAAATAACATACATAATGTAATAAAAACGTATATTTATAAATAAATCGTACAGCGGTAATTCCCCGAAATCAAAAAAATGCAATAAGGAAAAATGTCATATTTGGGTATTGGTAAACACGATAAACGTCATTATAAAATAAAATAGTTTTAGTTTTTATAATGCTAACGTAGGTATGCACGTAATTATTAGCATCAGTCCGTTATTAATCCGCACGATGATGTATTCTGACGTCATAATACGAACATCGACGTCGACTCGGTTCTTTTTATAAATATAAAAAACAGGTCTTTTTTATTCCCATTATTTATTTTATACGTATACATACCAACGTGGAGAAAAACCTATATTGTTTTTATGTCAGTTGATTTGTCAATTTTTTTTTAAATTAGATGGGCCGAGACGTTTGGCCAGTCTCTCGTGATAAGCGATGATGCGGTCTACGTCGGAGTGTGTCGTCACGTGTTGTTGTGTTGTGCATGTTTCAAATGCCTTAAGAATGTGTTGATGACTTGTCTAGTCTTTCTGGTTATAACTTGAAATGGTAAATAAGAAGTGTACTTTTTAATTAGTTTTTTTTTTGTAATCCCTTATTGTTAGACTGTAACTATAGGGAGTGGTGGCAACAAATATTTTTAGTTAGTAATCAAAATGCACGGTAGATTATAATAAAATAATTTTTCGTTAGTTTAATTACACTTATTGCACAATAGGTATACAATGGCAGACTTAATGCCTACGTAACTAACCTTAGGACTATACTTGGATATATATAGGTGTCGCGGAGAACCTCCGGGCAAGGCTCCGGCTCGACGTGCAGGAGAAGGAACGGGGTGGTTTTTAGTCAGTAAGAGTCTGACACTTCCTCCCGCCTCACCCAGGCGAGAGTAGTCATACGATCATTTTCGCCCCTTAAAAAAAATTTTAGGTATAGGTACATAGTGTACATACCTACAATTACTTTTTTAAATGTGCCCGTAAATTCTCTAACCATTTTCAAAATTCATATTTGCAAAAAAATCACGTATGCCCCAAAAACTCTGTAACCATGAAAAATCATTTGTTCATAATTAAATATTGAACTAATAAATAGTTGCAATAAACAAAAGATTATGCTAATTCTGTTTAAACAGATGTAGACAAAGGTAATGTACAGTTTATAGACCAACAAACTTGTTAAGCAAATTCTTATTTTACGTCATTTGTATTTGAATTGATTTTGCTACAATAAATGTGTGTTAAGGAATAATTTCTTTTTTTTGTTTAAAATTAATGATAAAATGACACATTAATTTTGAATTTTCCTATTAATTAATAGGAAAAAGAAAATCATGGTCTTCATTGGTCTTCATTGGTCTTATTGATCATCATCATCACATCAACAGCTAACCAAGATTAGATTCCTCTGACGACATCTAGCTCGATTGGTTGAAAGCAACTTGTATTTACTGTTGCTACGTATTACGTTGTATTGATATTATAAGCATCTTCAAAAATTAAGCAAGTTTTTTATAGCTACACGCTTTTTACATTAACTGCCTCGTTGGCTGAGTGGTTGCAAGTGCGACTGCTGGGCAAGGCGTCTTCGGTTCCCGGGTCGGGCAAAGTATTACTGGGTTTTTAAAAATTCTCAGTAGTAACACGGTGTCTGGAATTGTTCCCGGTATATGGTAATAGGCTCACCTCAAAGAGAATTGTACACTAGCATTAAGCGCTGTAATGACCTCTGTCTAACCCTTCGATAAAAGGCGAGATGTTACGTTATGTAACTTTTTAAGATTAAAATTTCTCTTAACATTCGTTGTTTTGTTTCAGTTAAAAAATGTCCGAAGAACGAAGAGTTTTCAATATGTCCTCAGTCACTTCAAAGAGCTCAGTATTGTTCCGAAAAGGGACAATCCTGCAGACAGCTGACAGTGGACAAACAGTCTTGCAAGAGAGGGTGTGTCTGCAAGAAAGGTTATCTCAGGGCTGACAACGGCACTTGTGTCATGGAAGAAGAATGTACGTAATATATTTTTTTTTGTAGCATAAACCTGTAAACGGACAGACGGATCACCTGATGGTAAGCAATCGGCGGCGCCCATGGACACTCGAAACACCAAGGCGTTATAAGTGCGTTACCGGCCTTTTGGGATTTGGGAATTTGAGGATTGTGGAGGATTCGGGGACTAGGGACGGGACGGTAACCTCACTCACACGACGAAACACAACGCAAGCGTTGTTTCACGTCAACTTTCTGTGAGACCGTGGTATCACTTCAGTCGAGCCGGCCCATTCGTGCCGAAGCATGGCTCTCCTACACACAAAATAAAATGTTTATTTAAAAAGTTACTCAAAAATCAAGTCACGAATCTAATTTGACAGATCACATCTTTTATTTAAGCTAAGCTAATTGCTCTATACAGCAGCTACATTGACCTTTGTTCAGATTATCCTTCTCTAAACAGATTATAACATAGTGACATTTAATTAAATCAAATCTTGACGGAGTAATATAGGAGGATAGAAAGATGAGGCAAGAGTTATACCGGTCTCATTTATCAGGTCCAACCACATGCGGTCCCAATGAAATAGAGGACAACTGTCCAGCGAACTGTGAGTCCAATTACTGCCCAACCAGCAACAGCAGCGATAGTGTACTGTGCGCCACTCCTGATGTATGCCCTCCTAAAGTCTGCAAATGCCGCTTCAACTATCGTCGCGCCATCAATGGGACCTGTATACCTACTAGAAGTTGCCGTAAGTAATTTTATTTTAATACTAGCTACTTCTGCGCGGTATCAAAAATCGATGACGTAGCGAAATTATGATTTTATTTGAAATTGGAATACCTCATTAAATTGAGGAAAATATTATGTTTGAGTTTTTAGGTTTTTGAAATTCTTATTAACTACGTAATGTTCCGATAATCAAGCTCTATTTTTTCGGTACATTTTGTTATGTGGTTTTACTCTACCTACTTGGTCGAGGAATTTAAAACAAGTTGCTATTATTAAGTATTCTCGTTAAAAAAATTATGCATGTTAAAACTTGTTATAAGGACTCACACTTCCTTAAAATAGGACTTTTGTGGGGAAAAATTAGTGACATACCAATTATAAAATATTTTAATATATTTGCAGCACCTTTTGACTGTAGCTCAAAACCAAATGAAGAGTTCGTTAGCTGTCCACCACTCTGCCCAACTGATGATTGCAGTCAAGCTTCACCCAGTGGAGAATGTCCCCCACTCTTTGGAAACATAGGAATAGTATTACCATGCAGTCCCAAATGTAGATGCATTAAGGGATACTGGAGACTTAATGGAACTTGCGTGCCTTATGGACAGTGTCGTAAGTAATAAATAACATTCAATTGTATTGTAACTTTCGTGAGATATACTAAATAAATTATTATGTTTTCGGCTTACTCACGTACTAATTTGACGAGGAACTCGACTAGTTTCAAGCCATGCTAGATGCTCATATTCATGTGTAGCATTTTGGTCTAGTGAAACTGGTCGAGTTCTTCCTCAAATTAGTACTTGAGTAAGCCGAAAACATAATAAATAACATTTAATTGGTATGATGAAAATTAGAAATCTATTTAGTCCGTTAGTTAGGTAATGAAGAAATATTAGACACGTATTTGTTTATTATGTAGTATACTAAAATAGTACCTAGATAAAATGAATCAAAGTTTAGGAGTGGGGGCTAAAACGTCATTTCTACGTACGTATAAAATGTACATAGAAGTGACGTCACACGACATTTCAAATCAATATTTCGTCGAAACTATTTGTTTTTGTAAGAAAATAAAACATACGTGTCTAATGTTTTAAAGTAATCTACCAGACGGACATTAAAATAAAAATTAGGCATCTACCCTATTATACCTCTATTTAAAAGTTCTGACAGTAAAAAAATATTGCTTGTGAGTGTTTTCATGATCATCTATTGTCTTTTATTAAAACCAAACATTTAATAGATCAAGTAGTTCATGATTCGTCATTTGGGTCTTTTCTAGCTGGAGTTTGTCCGGAAAACGAAAGATATTCCGAATGCTTACAAGGTGAATGTCGTGCTTTAAACTGTACTCAACAAGGCAAGTCAATAGCATGCCCAAGAATAAGACCAGAGTTTTGCAAAAAAGGTTGTGTTTGCCAAGAGGGGTACTTGAGGAACAAAGATGGCACTTGTGTGAAGGAAGACCAATGTGAAGGTACGTTGACCAAAATATATTTCAGCCAACATTTGTTATTGATTCTTTGGAATACCTTACAATTTATTTTACACAATTAATGATACTAGAAGGCTAGTGTCTGTAATGAATACAGATTAGAATAATTAAAAATTCGTCTGTAAAGACTGCCTCGTTGGCCGAGTGGTCAAGTGCGACTGCCGGGCAAGGGGTCTCGGGTTCGATTCCCGCGTCGCACAAAGAATTACTGGGTTTTTAAAAAATTCTCAGTAGTAGCACGGAGTCTGGAATTGTGCCCGGTATATGGCGATAGGCTCACCCCCTATTACATGGGACTTATAACTTAAACAGTGAAAAGTGGATGTTACATTGTACAGTAGTATATAATGTGCACCTCTGCCTACCCCTTCTGGGATAAAAGTCGTGATTGTGATGTTTATGTCGTCTGAAAATACAATAAACGATTTTAATATCTCTAAAGTATTTTAATAACTTAAATTAAAAAAAAAATTACAGCCCCAGTTTGTCCAGCAAACGAAATTTGGTCTACATGTGCCCAAGCCACTTGTAGAGCAGAAAACTGTTCTCAACGAGGTAAACCTATCGCTTGCCCAAGAGTTAAAGAAGAATTTTGTATCAAAAAATGTATTTGCGCAAAAGGCTACCTGCGAAATGAAAATGGAGATTGCGTACTAGAAGACCAGTGTCCCCGTAAGTATAAAGCTATATATACTTATAGCTAAATACCCTATAGAGCTAAGAGATATAAGATCAAAAAATAAAATATTAAAGTTGCCGTAACATCTTTTAATCCTATTACTGTCATTGAATTCAAAAAACTTAGGGCTGATTTCAATCAACAGATAATATTCTTAACTGTACAATAAAAATTTACTTTAATAAGTTTTTAGTATGAAAGAATTGTCAATTATTCAAAGGTATTCCTCTGATCAAATTTACCTATATAGCGTTGGAAAAATCGGCCTTTAGTGACGTAATGGTATCAACTTGGACCATTGCACAATAACATCTCTTAAGTGTAGAAAATCATCCAATTTTTCAATTATAACATAACATTACATAACATCACGCCTTTTATTCCTTGGGTGCCTTTTATGGGTGCACATTATACTATATTTTTATATAGAGGTAGAGGTATTTTACTGTACAAATGTAACACCCACTTTTCACTATTTATGTTATGAGTTCCATGTAATAGGGGGTCAGCTTATTGCCATATACCGGGCAAAATTCCAGACTCCGTGCTACTACTGAGAATTTTTAAAAACCCAGTAATACTTTGGCTGACCCGGGAATAGAAGCCGAGACCCCTTGCCCAGCAGTCGCGTTGCGACCACTCGGCCAACGAGGCATTTTTTTAATTATCTTCCCATAAATCATTATGTATCATCATATCATCAATATCAGTATACCAATCACCAGTATCTTTTGTATTTCAGCTCCAACTTGCAATGAAAACGAACAGCTGGAAAACTGCTCACAGTCTTGTAACACAGATTATTGCCCACGGTCAGAAAATGAGAAAGAAGTGTGTTCAGAGTCAAAAACTTGCATTCCTAGATGCAAATGCCAGTTCAACTATCGACGTGATGAGAATGGAACTTGTATTCCTATTGAGAGTTGCCGTAAGTCCTTAATTTTGCTCAATTTTAAATCACACAATACACAAAAATCTGTTCAACGGTACTGAAATGAAATCAGAAGAATGAGGTAACCAAAGCCAATTAGCAACTTTTAGTCATGTAAGCATGATGTAATGTTTCCAAATTTAAAATAGGCTTTTTGACAATGCGAAAAATAAAACGTTAAAAATGATTATTTATTAACTTAAGTTGAAAATAATGATTAATTTTAGTTAAAAATCCGTAAATAAAAATTGCATTATTTAAACGTTTGTCACGTGACACGAAACGCTCGTGATTGGTCGAGTTTATCATGACGCCACCTGCTTGTAAATACAAAACAAATGTATATGCTAGCTGTCACAGATAAGAATACAGGAAACAGGCAAGTGACGTCACCGACCTCATTGCAGCGCCATATTGTCAAAGTAGCATTTTGGCACACTATTTAAATATTGAATTTTTAATTCGATGTTTTTCAGCTAGTATATACCAGAATTAAAAAAAAACATTTTTTTTATTGGGCTCCTTAGACTCTACTACATGATAAAAAAAAATAAAACGTGTTAAATAGCCTATTACCTGCAATGAGTGTAAAAGATAACGACATACAATGATGGACTCATCGTAGATACAAGTCACTTGAATATACCTAGGTACTTCTGTGTGCAAAATATATGTTTATTTTTTTTATTATTTACAGCTCCCTTCGACTGCAGTTCCCGTCCAAATGAGAAATACAACCCCTGTCCACCTATCTGCCCATCTGACGACTGTGGTCAACCTCGACTTAAGGGACGATGTCCGTACAGAATAGGCATCCGTCTCATATGTAATCCTAAGTGCGAATGTTTGGATGGGTACGGCAGAGTCAACGGTACCTGTGTGCCTTTTGAAGAATGTCGTGAGTATCAAACATTATTTCCTAATTAAGTAAAAACCCGCACGTAATTATCAGAATTGTAATGGGGGCTAGCCTATTTCCACATTAGTATTAGATAGGTAAAACTAAACGTTTTCCTCGTTTGTGTACTAAGATTTAATGCTAAACCTTTACCTACAACGACCTACGTTATTAGTTAGTATGATTCTTCCTATTCTATTTCCTTCAGTTAGTAAAGACGTGCGTCATTAAAACAAAACTTAAAATAAGTCTTTTGATATAAGTTGTATTTATTACTTTATCGATCTTAAACTGGAAAATGCTGATCATAGAATATCCGATGTAACCCCTGAGTCAAAACTAAAAGCCTTTTTGGTAGTGACATAGTACACATTAATTAATTATTTATTAATCTTAACAAATTGTCTAACAGCTGACCTCTGTCCTATAAATGAGGAGTACTCTCCGTGCACACAAAGAACATGTCGACCAGAAAATTGCAAAGATAGGAACTCCACAATGGAGAACTGTTCTACAATGGAAGATGAATTTTGTGAGCGAGGCTGTGTGTGCAAAGAAAACTATTACAGAAATGATGAAGGAGATTGCGTTCCTTCTGAGGAATGTGAAGATAACGAGGATGACAATGAGGAAGATAAAGGGGATATTAAAGAAGGTACACTAAATATCTAAAAAGATTTTTTCTAATAGATAACGTAGTAAGTGTCCAAGAAGTAAAAAAATTACAAGTCCTTAAGGCAATTAATTTATCGAAGTCCATTTTGTACTGATAAATTTGTCAAAGAAAATATATTCAGTCGTACTCGACAATCAGATCAGAATAGTTGAATAAGGATAAGACAAATAAGTATATTTGTACGTTATTTCACATTTCACTTTTGCAGAGCCGTCTTGTCCAACAAATGAAGAGTTCGTTCCATGCATTCAAGGAGTTTGCAGACCCATGAAATGTGGACAAGAAGACGAAGATGTGCCTTGCCCTGAAGTTCCTGAAGATAAATGTGAAAGTGGCTGTATTTGTAAGGAACATTATTTGAGAGCGAAAAACGGCACTTGTGTTCCTGAGGATACTTGTGAAGATGAGGAGCAGACAAGTAATAAAACATTTAAATTTTCCAGACTAATCTCAATAATGACGATGAAAATAATTTTAACCTACAAATGCATCTATTTTTTAATTTTACTTTTTTAGACAAAAGAGAAGTTATTTCGAGACGATTCAATGTTTTTTTTTTCATTTTTAAGCAGTATCATGTGGACCTAATGAGCAATTCTCAACGTGCTCTCAAGCTGTGTGTAGAGCACTGGATTGTAAGGACAGAGGTAGACCAATAGCTTGCCCAATGATCCTCGAAGGTTCTTGTATAAAGGAATGCATCTGTATATCTGGTTACCTTCGAACTGAAAGCGGTGAATGTGTACCTGAGGATCAATGTCCTGGTAAGTTGTGATTTTGAAGCATGTTCTGTAATATCATCAATATCACCTGATTATCACCAGTTTGTGGGAATCCACTGCTGTACTGTTCTGTCTTATCTACAAAAGAGATGCTTGCCATAATTTCACGGTTGACTAACGAGTTGGAGGTCATAGTATAAAATGATCAGGCTTATTAGAGAGCGCTGCACCATGACAACTAGTAACACTGTAGTTTATATGGAAATTAAGATTATTGTTGAAAAGTCTCGCATTGACAATGTAAGTATTATAATATAATTATGTTTTTTCCAGCTCCAACCTGCGTTGAGAACGAAGTACTACAAAACTGTTCCCAATATTGCAATTCTGACTACTGCCCGTACTCAGCGGATCAGCAGCAGGAATGCTACCCATCTTTTCCTCCAGGTTCTTGTGTACCTGAGTGTAAATGTAGGTTTAATTACAGAAGAAGTGACAATGGAACATGTATACCGACTAGAAGTTGCCGTAAGTTTACGTACAATTATTCTTCTTCTCCATTAAATTGATCAGATTTAATATTTTGTATTCCTGTCTTGCAAAAATGCCTTTGCTTTAAAAGTGAAATGAATCAAAATGTTTCATCTTTAAAAAAATATAGTAAACCACATATTGTCAGTATTAGGATGAGTGTAAAAAACCTTCTAGTTTGAAATTAGAGCGATTTTCCATTATTTTGTTGTTTTTATACTGACTGCCTTGTTGACCGAGTGGTCGTAAGTGCGACTGCCGGACAATGGGTCTCGGGTTCGATTCCCGGGTCGGGCAAAGTATTTCTGGGTTTTTAAATATACTCAGTAGTAGCACGGAGTCTGGCATTGTGCCCGGTACATATATGGCAATAGGCTCACCCCCTATTACATGGGACTCATAACATAAATATAGTGAAAAGTGGGTGGTACATTGTACAGTGGTATAATGTGCACCTCTTCCTACCCCTTGGGGGATAAAAGGAGTGATGTTATGTTATGTGTGTTGTTTTTAAAATATGTTCTCATTGTTCATCTTATTTTAGCTCCCTTCGACTGCAGTGACAGACCCAATGAAGAGTATAATCCTTGCCCTCCGATTTGTCCATCTGACGCTTGTGGTAAACCTAGGCTCACTGGTCGCTGTCCATTCAGCATCAAAATAGTCCTAAACTGCCAGCCAAAATGCCAATGTAAGGACGGATACGGCAGGGTCAATGGAACTTGCGTACCATTTGAAGAATGTCGTAAGTGTCTATTAAATAACTTATTGACGATAAGACTAAGGTATAATTAGTTGTACTACCTCTAAATGATGCTAATGCTATAGCTGTCAAAAGTGTTGTTTTCCATGGATTAACACTGATAAGTTCTATACTGGACAACTTACATTACGAAGTACCTTAGTTCTTAATAGGTTGATAGCGTCCCTTTTGCTACATTCATAAGCAACAGTTCATTAAAAAGTTACAGGACATTCAGTATCTTGCTTAAAAATATAAATGGACTAATCACCATTATCTAACACAGTAAATGAATAAAAATCATAAAGAGAACAAGCATTGGTATGTCAATACTTTATTTTTTCCACAGCTGACCTCTGCCCCACCAATGAGGAGTACTCCCCGTGCATACAAAGGACATGTCGACCACAGAACTGCTCCAACCGTAACACCACCATGGAAAACTGTTCCACATGTGATGATACTAAATGTCAGCGAGGATGTGTCTGCAAGGAGAATTACTACAGGAATGACAAAGGAGTCTGTGTTCCTTCTGAACAATGTGAGGACAAAAAAGGTAAGGGTAGACGACTAATTTTTATTTTAATGTCCGTCTGGTAGATTATTTAAAAACATTAGACACGTATTTTTTATTTTCTCACAGAAACGAATAGGTTCGAAGATATATTGATCTGAAATGTCGCGTGACGTCACTTCTCAGTACATTTTATACTAAGAAATGACGTTTTAGCCACCACTCCTAAACTTTGATTCGTTTTATCTAAGTATTGTTTTATTATACGACAAAATAAAAAAATACGTGTCTAATATTTTTTCATTACCTAACTTACGGACTAATTATATTTTTAATTTTCATACCCTGTCATCATCCCCATTTATTTGAACCTGTTTCTAGCAAGGCCTTCACCCATGTTGCCTTGGGATAAATAGCATGTTTTATTCCAGATTATAATATATCCCTGTCCGAAATTTGAGTAGTTAGACTGCACGGTTGGTGCAGTAGCTGGGTAACTGGCTGCCGTGCAACGTGCCACAGGTTCGATTCCCGTAAGGAACAACTCTGAGTGTGATCCACAAATTGTTGTTTTGTTGTGTCTTGTCGCACATGTGTAAACACACCCACGATATAGAAAACAATCCTACATGTTCTTTAAAAAAAAGAAAGAAGTTGATCCTGATGTCATCTACCGTTTTGACTCTCTTGATACAAAAACTCACACACTTTGAAATTAAGAAGAAGTAATATAAATACAGTTTTAATGCATAAATAGTTGGTCAATTGGTCGTAAGTGCGACATCTAAACAAGGAATCTAAGGTCGGACCCCTCGGAATTGGCTAGTTTCCTAGGTTTAAAATAAATTGTTCCAACTTTTCAATTCGATAAATAATTAAAAAATAATCATACTCTCATCCATCGATTTGACAATTTACCTACTTTTGGATTTTTTCTCGAAAATTTTAAGGAAATAAGTATGCTATTTGACGCAGAAATATGATGACGTAATAAGTAGCGATCCAGTACAAAATTCATAGTAAATTATCGTTTTTGACATTTCAATTATTGTAAAATCAATATTGAATTTGACTACCTGTCAACTACCGTATTATAGTTTCAATGTAGCTTTTCGGTGTTTCGAAGATTTCTCAGTAGTAGCACATGTTTAGTATAGTATTCGGTATTCCTCCATATTACTTTGTTAACATAACAATATGCACTCCCTTGGGAATTAAAAAACGTTACATTAATTAAGTAAAATCGCGGGTTACTCACGTGAATATACTGAGAAAAGCTCTACTAGTTTCGAACCACAAGCCGCGGTCGCCGCGACGCTGCACTGCAAGAAAAGCCCCTCTGTGGTTCGAAACTAGTAGAGCTTTTCTCAGTATATTCACGTGAGTAACCCGCGATTTTACTTAATTTAGTATTTCTCACGATAGTTATTATAAAAACGTTACATAAAGTAAATGTCAGAAGATAATCTTTAATTTATAACTACTAAAATCTTCTTCACAGATATCTGTACCGGCCCAAATGAGCACTATACGACGGAATTGAGTACCTGTCCTCCTAACATCTGCCAATCACTAGTCGCTAGGTACAAATGTGACTCCATGAAGCGACCGCAGCCAGGCTGCATTTGTGACTCCGGCTACTTAAGACGAAACTTGACATCACCCTGTATACCAATATGTGAGTGCCCAGAAATGGCTAGCTCACCTGATTGTAAAAAATAAACTTTTGTTACTTTTTTATTAAGTGTTGTTTCGTTTAATTCGTCTTTTGTTTTATTTTTTATGCTTATGTATTACACGCTAGTCATTGCTCGCATCAGCTAGTATTATATTAGCAGTTGCATAAACATAAGCAAAAAATAAGTACACGTAGAATATGAATTTTAGAACCCCTTTCCTTACTTTCAATTAAAAAAAAAAGTAGTGTAATGTATTGTTTGTTACTCCTTAGTTCATCAGCTACAGAGCAATAAAATTCCCGTCAAAATCGGTCCAGTCATTTCAAAGAAGAGCCAGTATAAACAAGCAAACAGACTACAAAAAAATTATTAAAAAAGAATATTTTGGTATGTGTATCGTATATTCATAAGCGTGTAGTAAAAAGCGGTTATTTTAATATTACAAACAGACATTCCAATTTTAATTATCTTCAGGCAACTTAACATTCGACCAACTTATATTTGCGTTTGGTACAGTAACTGCGTTTAGGGATTAAGCTGCATAATTAAGTTTAATTTTTCGTGTATATACTTTTCAGAATAAAAAGTACCCAGTGTTGTGCACATGATATTAAAGTATGATCATACCAAATTTCATCGTAATCAGACCGATAGTTTTTGCGTGATGCGAGAACATACAGACAGACAGACAAAAAATATTTTTAATCACATTTTTGGGTATCTGTTTAGTAACGCTAGTATACTAGCTAGTACACTATTTATTTTATTAATATTTTTAATGTACAAAACTCACAATTCCACAGTTTTATATGTATAGATATAGATATAAATTATGTTATTGAATAACTATGTTTTCCGGCAAAAATGTGGGGCATCGGGAGCAATGAACGAGACGTGTAGTTCTTATGAATTACTTTAATAAATTTTCTTATGCTAACGCTACATATACCTTTTTTTTTTAGGTTCCTTTTATGCCTTATCCTACTCCGTATCTATCAGTCAGACGTCAATACCATGATGTTCAGGAAAATCGCCTAGAATGGTCGCCATCTTCAATGGACTTGCTTATTTCTAAGAAATATTTAATAATTTGTGGTGGCCCGAGGGTTTAAGACGCCCGCTTCTCATGCATGAGGATGCGGGTTCGAAACCCACCAACGGCAAGTACTGATATGACCTTTTCTGAGTTATGTGTACCTTTCTAATGTTATTTAGACACCACTGACAAACGGTGAAGGAAAACATCGTGAGGAAACCTAGGTTTATAATTTCTAATTATAAGTCTGAAATCGCGAACCCGTATTGAGCAAGCGTGGTGATTAATGCTCAAACCTTCCTCGTTTAAGAAGAGGCCTTTGGTCAGAAGTGGGCACTTATAGCCTGTTGATGATGATGATGACTGATGATGGTTTAATAAGTCTTATTCGTCCCAAGAAAAAATCCAAAGCCCGGACACTCCTTACACTTAAAAGTAGTGGTGTTCGCGTCCTTAATAAACTTAAATGGTTTAGAACAGATGGTAATCCCCATAATAGTTAAGCGACGTTTTCGAGCGTTTTTTTTACCTGTGGACCAAACAAATTAGTCAAGAACTATGAATTAGTAACTTTTGTTTAATACCTAGGTTTATATTCTAACGACTAAGGGGGCTTTTGACATTTTTTGCTAGAGGCTCATATTAATGAATAATGAGCCTGTAGCAGCGCGACAGTCACCGCGTCGCAGGTCGCGAAATGCTGCTCATGAATATGAGCCTCTAGCATGGCTTGAAACTAGTCGAGTTCCTCGTCAAATTATTACGTGAGTAAGCCGAAAACATAATAATTTATTTAGTATGTCTCACGAAAGTTACAATTTGACTACATAATATTGTACATTATACCTACATGGTAAATAAACAGGCAACGATAAAACGTTTCAAGTTTCATATTCTCATAACCCTAACTCATTACGGTCAAAATTAATTGGATTGGATTGTTACTAGTACTGTTTTAAGAATATTTCTTAAGGGGAGATATTCATTATTTCCTCCCGCCTTTGGTGAGGCGAGAATGTCAGACTCTTACTGACTAAAAAACCACTCCGTTCCTACTCCTCGAGCCAAAGCCTCGGTAACCCGTTAATTTCTCCGCAGCTCCGCATAGGGAATCAGCTCTACTGGGCCCTATCTATTGTATTGTGATGGCTCTATGAGCGCAACCGGAATGGGACTGTAATGGGTACATTGTGTAATTACTCTGTGTTATGAATAAAAGATATAGCGGCTTGGCATTAATTATATACATCAGAGGTGTTTAACCAACAGATAATGTTTATTCGTCGATAAAATAAAATTGACGTTCGACAGTTTTATATGGAATGATTGTGAAAAATTCAAAATTATAATTCAAAAATTTAATTACTGATAAAGTTATTCCACGTTGAAATAATCAGCCCTTTGTAAAATAAACTTACTATGTGTAGTGAGCTTGTCGTTATCTTGCGAGTTTCTCAGTTGAGGACTCTCTGTTGTTGGGGCTTTGAAACCTGTCGACCAAAAGTGCACTTGTTAATATAACATAACATCACAGCTTTTATCCCCGAAGGGGTAGGCAGAGGTGTACAATGTAACACCCACTTTTCACTATTTATGTTATGAGTCCCATGTAATAGGGGGTGAGCCTATTGCCATATACCGGGCACAATTCCAGGCTCCGTGCTACTACTGAGAATTCTTAAAAACCCAGTATTACTTTGCCCGACCCGGGAATCGAACCCGAGACCCCTTGCCCGGTAGTCGCACTTGACCACTCGGCCAACGAGGCAGTCTTGTTAAACGTCACACTTGTTAAACGTTTTACTATTTGGAATTTATTATTTCTAGACCTGGTTACTAGTGATATAAAGATAGTAAGTACATATAGAATGGTCTGTAAACCCATTCTAGCTGTATCGCATGTCTCTATAACCTGGACAACCAATGTCGTCGACCTATTTTTCAAGATGGCCAATCGTGAGCAAACTAAACCATGGATGCAAAAAATTCTGTGGCAGTCATAAAATGTATTTTGAACAGGATTTTAAGTGCGATAAGACAATTTCAACAATAAACAAAGCTATACTTACATTCCGGTTCAGGTATACAGGTCCCATAGTCGTTTCTGGCGAATCCCTCATCACAGTAACAGGCGTGCACGCATTTGTTGTTGCCAATGGGGCACACATCGCCCAGCGTGGCACAAGTTGTTTGACACGCGCTGCCACACTCGTAGTGCTCATTTTTACGTCTACATGTCAAGTCTGGCGTATATGTAAAACAGTAATTTACATATACGGCTACAAAGAGAAGAAAAAACTTCACTGTCATTTTAAAATCCGTGTTTTACTTAGTGTGGTAATTTTATACTCAATACTTTCAGAACATATGATTAATGTTAAACAATACAGTATTAAAAAGACCACAGTTCCCGACGTCTCCTGATCACGAATGATCCTTTTCCTTTCAGAGAAAAGCTATAAAAATATATTTATATAAACACGCATAAATAACACAATTCAATGGATCGAGGAGAACAGATATTTTTTTACAAAAGAACAAACGTGAGATATTATGAATTATTTTATTGTTATATGTTATTGTTGTTAATAACAATATATAAGCATTCCTTTAGGTATGTGATAGAACAAATAAGTTTAAATAATTGACATAACTGGTAAATTATCTTTACTATATAAAAATAAGTCGGGTTTTCCTTCCTGACGCTATAACTCCAGAACGCACGAACCGATTTCCACGGTTTTACATTCGTTGGAAAGATCTCGGGCTCCGTGAGATTTATAGCGAAGAACGAAGCCATCTGGTGGCGAAACGGAGTTCGCCGGGTTTGCTTGTATTAGTACAGTTTAGTACACACATTAACCTGTAAAAATGTACATTAAAAGCGGTAAAAGCGGTTTAGTAACAATATTACAGTAATAAGCGTCATACCGTTGAGAATAAACGATACCCTATACAATTTTAATCATAATAATTACTGTAGCAGTCAAAAATTTTACATTTAAATAGTGTGATACAAATAAGTGCAAACCAAATACGGGATGATGATGATGATTGACAGGAAATTCAATGCATTTATTGAAATGTCAAAAACGATACATTTCTATGAATTTTCTATTTTATCGCAATTTATGACGTCATCATATTTCTGCGTCAAATAGCATACTTATTTCCTTAAAGTTAGCGAGAATAAATCCAAAATTAGGTAAATTGTCAAATCAATGGATGAGAGTATGATTATTTTTTAATTATTTTTTCATTGGAAGTTTGAAAACCTAGGAAACTAACCAATTTTCTATCGGTCAACGTACCTAAATTTTGGCTAAGTGTTCTGCCCTTACCGATACATTCATACGATACCCGTATGATTCGACATGATGGCAAGGTGTAGGCATGTCTTGCTTGAAAAATATGTTTTCTTTATTGGGAAATGTCTGTTGCAATCTTGCAAAAGCTTTGTAACTCCAGTAAGCCATGTAGATCCTGGCTAATAAAAATAAATACAAGAAAATAGAAAATATCGGAACACTGAAGCCCGGCAAGTCTCAGGGCCATAAATAACTGCCTTGGTTCCCGCAACGAAGTGAATCAGAAGATATAATAAGAAGAGAAGGAAAAAAACGATAGTTTCCACTTCTCTCTAAGAATAAATTAACCCAACCCAGTCGCCGAGCACCACGGAAATTTGACTTAAAGCTAACTGGGTCTTATATGTGAGCTGTTATATCTGAATATGAACATATGAACTCTGAAATTTTCAAAGATTCACTACTATGTATCGGCTTCATAAAAAAGCTGGGCAAGCGGAGAGCTCTTTAATATCTACCAGTCGTAAGCAGCCAGGTACAACCACAACACATTATAATTACTTTAACACCCGCTCTCGTTAAAAACTAACTTAACCTCATATTATCCGCACGATCTCTGGGGAGTCGGCGAACCTCCTTGCCGGATTACCGCCGTGGGATCTGGAGGCGAAGGTGCTCGCGCGCGTGTATAACATGCGC